TATTTTGTCTCTTGGCCTCCTTATGAAAGAAGTTCAAACTTGTCTTTAAGACTGATGGGTCATACATAGTTTGACATTTTTTGGGCAAAATCAGTTTCGGCTGTGAATAATAACATCCCCCCTTTCCATTTTCCTCAACAAAAGTAAGGAAGACAACAGCTTAATTCATTGAGGTAAGTAGTCCAAAGTTCATATACTGACTCCGTTGTCCCCAGGGGTACAGACCTTCTAGTTCTATTCCCTAGGACAAGTCCTGCTTCTTCATGTCCAAGATGGCTGCCACCATTTTAACTACCTTGGCTACTTTCCTAATAGCAGGATAGAAGAGGTGCAAGGGGAGGGGTGAAACTTCTTCTTACAGATGTTTCCAGAAATCCCACACAGCACTCTTTGTTGCACCTCATTGGCCAGAACATAGTTGAATGGCTACAAGAAAATAGGGAATGCCATCCTTGAGTATCAATATGTCCATCTAAAAAGTAGTTGATTTGAAAGAGTAGAAGATGAGTTTTTCCTGAGAAATCATTAATCTCTGCTACAGACTTGATTATACCTATCATTATCTTTGACTCACTTCAGAAAGCAAAGCAATTTAACATATAAGTGAAAAATGCAAAAACATCATCCTTGGGGGGAAACTGTTTTCTAAATCCTAGACCAAAAATTTCAGCAATGCTAGAGGCAAGGACTTTCTGAACAGAACCCCAGTTGTGCAGGAAATAGTGCTGAGAATTAAAAAATGGGATAGTACCAAATGAAAAAGCTCCTGTACAGCAAAAGAAACAACCAACAGAACAAAAAGACAACTGCCAGAATGGGAAAAACTTTTGCCAGCTATGCTTCAGACTAATATCCAAAATTATAAAGAACTCAAAAAAATTAGACCTCCCTTGAAATAAAAGGCCTAATCAAAAAATGGGCAAATGAAGAAGTACAAATGCCCAATAAATACATGAAATGCTCAACATTTCTGGTCATTAGAAGGATACAAATTAAAAAAAAACATTGAGATTCCATATTACTCCACAATCAAAAAATGGGCAAATGAAGAAGTACAAATGCCCAATAAATACATAAAGAAATGTTCAACATTTCTGGTCATTAGAAGGATACAAATTAAAAAAAAACATTGAGATTCCATATTACTCCTGAAAAAATGACCATCATCAAGAAGTCAAATAATAGCAGATGCTGATGGGGCTTTGGAGAAACAGAAACCCTTCTACATTGTTAGTGGGAATGTAAACTAGTACAACCACTACAGAAATAAGTATGGTGAGCCCTCAAAAAACTGAAAATAGAAATTCCATTTGACCCAGGTATTCCTCTTTGAGGTATCTTCCCCCCAAATTAAAAAAAAATCATAATGCAGTGATACATGCATACCCGTGTTTATAGCAGCACAGTTAATAATAAATAAATCTTGGAAGCTGCCTTCCAAGGATTTGTCCATCAATAGATAACAGATAAAGGAGATGTGATATTTACACACAATGGAGTCCTACTCTGCCATAAGGAAAGATAGACTTGAGTCATTTGTAGGAAAATGGATGCACCTTAAAGGACTATAATGTACAGTGAAATAAATCAGACACACAGCTTAAATATTGTATGATTTCTTTTACATGAGAAACTCAAATTATAAATAAAGAATAAAATAAGAGATGGATAATAGGAAGTAGGGATATAGATCTTTTTCAAATGAGAGAAGAATTAAGAGAGATGGATGGAGAGGGGAGGGGAAAAGAGGGAAAAGGGATGAAAAAATAACTGAAATCTGTTAGGTACACGTACCAATTCCACACAAAGAATGTACACATTATGTACTGCAAACATGTACTAAAAAATCAGAAGTTTATTGCTCTGTTAAAGCACTGTTATGTCTAGTATTCTAGGTAAACACACACACATATATAAAATAAACAAAATGTATTCAGCTAACATTTGCATAAGTTACCTCCTATTTTACAAATTAGACAACTGCTTTGTCATATAGTTTGTCATACAGCCATATTTTTCTTTTTTAGGTAGGGACAGGGGTTTCACTATGTAGTTCAGAAACTCTTGGTAATCCTGCCGCCTCAGCCTCCCAAGTGCTAGGATTATAGATGTGCACCACCACACCCTGCTTATAGTTATATTTTTCAGATTTAATTATTTCACCTTTTTATTATGAAATATAATGTCCATACAGGAAAATGGATAAAGCATACATGTTTCTTACTTTTCAATAGCGTGGTCAAGTACTTCTACATCTTGCTGATCTCAGCGGCTGTGCGAGGGAGGGCAGACATCAGTCATCACCTCGTGTCCTATGAGGATGTACACAGGGTGCGTGACTTTCATGAGGCTCAAAGCCCCTGTGGTTGCAGAACTTGAAAACTGCCTTCTTTCCTCAGAGCACCTTACGCCTTTTCCCCAGGTTGCCTTCCTCAGAGACTATAAAAGTCCTGTGAAACTTGGTAGTAGAATCAGAAAGAGGTGAGAACACCTTTCTGGAAAACTACTGCTGAGTGAAAAAGCACAGAATGGAGTAGTAGTCAGTGAAGACACTTAAACAAGATATCTCCAGAGCTCGGGGGTAAATTCAGTGTGAATTACTATGTGAAATAAACAGTGTCCAGTGAAGGGAATGTGCAAAACTACTCTCAGAGATTTCAGATTTTACTATAAGTGAAATAAAGGGATTTGAAAGGACACAAGTTTGGCAGTCCTTTCTCTTTGTCACTATTTTTGGCTTCCTGTTTGAGGAAAGTTTTGAAAATTTCCTTGTAAGGACAAAAGCAAAAAAATTACTCCATGACCTCAGGACCTCAGTAGAAGGAACCATGAACAAATATTCCTCTTCTTCTGCAGTTGGAAAGAACTGGTAGTGACTGCAAAATCTTCCCAAACTCCCACAATGGCAGCAGCCTATGGAATCAGCTCCAGTTTCAAAAAGTTGCCTCTGGAATCCCAGGGCTCAAAATCAACATGTCATGGAATGCCCCCTGGGTTGGAAGGAGGGCACTCTCTGAGTAGGAGGGAGGTTTTTCTTCCTTATGTAGGCATTGGATTCCAGCCCTTACACGAGAGGTTTGGTGATATGTATTCAGTCTTATAAACCCTTTCATCTATACAGTTTCTTCTAGATGGTGGAAAGAAGAGAAGCAATAAAGTGACTCACTCCCATGCATTTGCAGATTAATTATAATTGTATGGACAAGTTGCTGAGCAATGGGGATAATGGACAATCTGTCTCTACACAGGAATCTTCAGCAGATCCTTCTCATTTATTTATTAAACATACATGTTCAATGCGTATTGAGTGCCAGGTAGGAGCTTTTCAAATAGTAACTCACTTAATAGTCCTAACAAGCCCCTGAGAGAAGGATTACCTTGTAAGTGAGGAACCTGAGGCATGTTAAGTTTAATGAACTGGCCAACATCAAGGAGCTCGTAAGTGTGTGACACTCATGCCCAGAACTACCGTGTTGGCTGTCTCTCATCTTCCCACGCAACTGTCCAGGAAGAAGGTCTAGTCGAAGATGGAATGACTTGGCAGTACAGGTTGTCATGAGATACTTATTAGATTCACTGCCTTTAGAGTAAATGGCAGAGTACTCAATTTATGCTTCTCTGAAGGAAGGAAAGAGAGAAGGGAGGGGGAAGCAGAGAGGAAAGGTTGCTGTACATTAGATTTTACTATAAGTGAAATAAAGGGATTTGAAAGGACACAAGTTTGGCAGTCCTTTCTCTTTGTCACTATTTTTGGCTTCCTGTTTGAGGAAAGTTTTGAAAATTTCCTTGTAAGGACAAAAGCAAAAAAATTACTCCATGACCTCAGGACCTCAGTAGAAGGAACCATGAACAAATATTCCTCTTCTTCTGCAGTTGGAAAGAACTGGTAGTGACTGCAAAATCTTCCCAAACTCCCACAATGGCAGCAGCCTATGGAATCAGCTCCAGTTTCAAAAAGTTGCCTCTGGAATCCCAGGGCTCAAAATCAACATGTCATGGAATGCCCCCTGGGTTGGAAGGAGGGCACTCTCTGAGTAGGAGGGAGGTTTTTCTTCCTTATGTAGGCATTGGATTCCAGCCCTTACACGAGAGGTTTGGTGATATGTATTCAGTCTTATAAACCCTTTCATCTATACAGTTTCTTCTAGATGGTGGAAAGAAGAGAAGCAATAAAGTGACTCACTCCCATGCATTTGCAGATTAATTATAATTGTATGGACAAGTTGCTGAGCAATGGGGATAATGGACAATCTGTCTCTACACAGGAATCTTCAGCAGATCCTTCTCATTTATTTATTAAACATACATGTTCAATGCGTATTGAGTGCCAGGTAGGAGCTTTTCAAATAGTAACTCACTTAATAGTCCTAACAAGCCCCTGAGAGAAGGATTACCTTGTAAGTGAGGAACCTGAGGCATGTTAAGTTTAATGAACTGGCCAACATCAAGGAGCTCGTAAGTGTGTGACACTCATGCCCAGAACTACCGTGTTGGCTGTCTCTCATCTTCCCACGCAACTGTCCAGGAAGAAGGTCTAGTTGAAGATGGAATGACTTGGCAGTACAGGTTGTCATGAGATACTTATTAGATTCACTGCCTTTAGAGTAAATGGCAGAGTACTCAATTTATGCTTCTCTGAAGGAAGGAAAGAGAGAAGGGAGGGGGAAGCAGAGAGGAAAGGTTGCTGTACATTCAGCACAGGATCTGGTTTGAACATTCTCTCACAGGATGTCGCTGTGGAGGACAAAGTTGTTATCATCCTGTGTCCTCATTTCTTCAAAAAAGGACCGTCACAATCAGCCTGCTTTCATTATAGGTTGTTTATTTATAAATTCAGTCAAATCAGATGATGTATGTCAAAGTACTTTTTTGTTTTCAATTTTTCATTCTTTTACCATTGCTTTGACTTTGGGATGAAGAAAAAAAACCATAATTCAAATTAAAATTCTCAGGTTCTCCAGAAGTCATTAGAATTAGCTACTAATCTTTTTCCCTCGGGCTGAACATTCCAAATATTACACCACTTCCCCAAATACAAAACATTCATTATTATAATGACAACTTCAAAAAGGAAACACTTTCTGAATGGCATTCATCCAAAACCTTAAAGCACACTAATCTTCAAGGTTTCAAAATATTTTATTGGCTTGCAAACATTCAGACCTCCTGTTTATCACGAAAATAAGGATGATACAACTTGTGGCTGCCTGTTGTCTCCGGCAATAGTTTTCCTTATACGAAGCTTTAGTTCTTAAGACTCCTTCCTTGTTCTGCTCTCACTCAATCACAAGCAGAAGCTCAGGAACTCCGAGGTGTCTACTGTCTCTTTCTTTCCTTTTCCTAAGAGAGTTTCAAGTGCACTCATTAGAGTTCCCTCAGTAGGACTGGGATTGGGGGAGGGAACTTCTGGGTCTGAGCAATATTTAGCTCCAGATTTACTTATCTTTCTATTCACCTGGTTATCCCATAGGCATTGAAAAACCAACGTGTCTGCAGCTGAACCCATCATTACAAATTGTCTTCTCTTCCTCTGTTCCTATTTCAGTCACTGGTAACCTTGGCGCCATCCTTGGTTCTGACATTTCTCTCACACCCACTGTCATCGAGTCTCACTAACTTCGCCTCCTTACTGCTCCCGTCATGGCTCACCTTCAGTTGATCTTCCATATTGTGCTAGAGGGATCTTCTGCAATACAGACCATGGCAAATAACTTCAGAGGTTTCTCCTTGACATAAGAAAGGGCCTGCTATTGCTTTGTGTCCCTCCCAAAGTCCACGTGTTAAAAGCTTGGTCTTCAACCTGTGGTGCTACTGGGGGGTGGTAGAACCTTTAAGAGGTGGATCTACTGGGAAGTCTTTAGGTTATTGAGCATGTACCTTTGGGAGGGAATATGAGACCTCAGCACTTTCCCTTCCCTCTTTTGCTTCTTGGCCATAAAATGAGCAGTTCTACATTGCCACAGACACCCACTGTGGCGTGGCACCACAGGCTTAACCCAATAGGGCCAACTGATCACAGGCTGAAAATTGTGAGCCAAAATAAACCTTTTCTTAAGTTTATTATGTCAGGTATCTGTGACAGTAACATAAAGCTGATTAACACTGGCCCTACTGACGAATATTGAAGAAAGGACTTTAGCGACCTGTTTGTTCCCACCACTCTGAGAAGCCTGGGCTCCTCTGAATTCCTTGCACGTGCCTTCACTTAACCTTAGAAGCTGCATTCAATTGCAAATACCTCTTCCATTATTTTTTTTCTGGCTAACTTCTCTAATATGCAAACCTCCAAGCTCCACAGACTGCTATGATGCCCTCTCTGCTGTTACCATAGAGATCCAATCATAGCCCTTGCCAAATCCTATGCTGCTTGTTTACCTTTATGGTACCCTCTTTGGTCAAAAGATTTTTAAGGGTTATAGCTAGTTGTTTATCTTTGTACTTACAAACCCAGTATAATAAAGTAAAAAAAATATTTATTCAAAAATATTGTTGAACAAATGAATGTATCCTGATATTGCACTGCACATTGACTGCCTGTGGTCTCAGCCAGTACAATCATGCAGGGCACACTACAACCCATGAAACAGCATTAACTAGGATGTCCACTCCCAATAAAGAAGTGTGGAGTGAGTCCGTGGTTGTGGAAACTTCTGGTTGTATCACAAAGTGTGCCATCTAGAAACAACCACAGAGTGGGGTACAAGACGCTTACTAAATACCCAGCTCAGGATTCAGCTCAGAGGCAATTATCTGAAAAGATGGGGGACTCCCAGATAACACTCTAAGTCACTGTGGCCCTTGTAGCAAGGTCACAGGGAACCAAGAGGTAAAAGGGAGTGCTGTACTTAGCAACCGATTCTTGTGATCCACTCTGGTCTTTCTGCTTCTCACCTCCTCAACCCTGACATATGGTGGAGGTTTTCATGCCCCAAAGGGTAACATCTGTGCCGAAGGGCCCAGGAAAGTCCTCATAAAATGAAAGCGCTGCTGATTCCAGGAAATACTAGATTCCTTGTGTCTGGGGACAGACCAGCAGACAAAAGTGGAGTCACAGTCTGGGAAGATGTAATTGCCCCTGGTCAGCAGGGGAGGGGAGGACCACTCTTGTACAATGAAACAGAGAGGAAGCCACATGTACCCTAAGCAGTCCATTGGGCATCTCCTGTATTCACTGCTAAGTGACTTTGACTTGGGGGGACTCCCCATTGGTTTCCCTGAAATGATTTTAGAATCGTGCTATAGTCTGAGATGCTTTTTGATTGGTTCTTATTTCTTGCTCTCCTTTCACAGGTGGGATCCTTGCATTGTAATCTGAAGTCTATTTTTCACAGAGCTTTTCCCTAATAAATCCCTGGTGCTTCTAATCCTATCTGACCATCTGCTTATCAGGGGACCAAGACTGCACAGATGCCATCCTTCTCATGGACATCTGCTTTTGAGAGATTTCCTAGAGCAATGATGGCAAACCTTTTAGAGCTTTCGATGATACGAACAGCATGTTGTGGCTCATGTGCCATAAGTTTGCTACCATAGTCCTAGAGCAAATACTATGTAAATCCAAGAAGTTAGTGCCAAAGAATTTTGGGGATATCTTCCACATGCTCTGGTTCTCGTGTCTCTGCTTATTCCCGAGGCTGGGCTAGTGAGCCCTTAGATGTGTCTGTCTTCTGGTTGACTGAACTGGCAAGTGTCACCAGTTGTAGGCTTCACAATCAGACTGGGGATTTATATCTTGGGTTTGCCACTTGTTATGGAACCCTACATGGGTAAAGTAGAACAAGTAACAGTCATTAGGTTAGGAAGGAGTTGAGAAAATAAATGTAGTGTGCAACATATAGTAAGAACCCAACAAATTGCAGATATACTAGTGTTACTGTTCTTACTCCCAAATCAGGGGATATATCAAAGATGCATTTAAAAAAATCTACTAATCCAAGAAAACTGATGAGGCTAAATCCTTCCTTTCCACTGAAGAGCAGAAATGTCAGGTGTGCCACTGAATTTTGTTTTTCCTCAAGGCTGTTCCCAACTGAGTGACTAGCCATTTGTGAGGCTGTAGCCATTCACATAACGGATATGAACACAAAGCTAGAAGCCTGCCACTGTCTAGGTATTCATTGTGTCACAGATCAGCGATGCCACATGACTACTAAAGTCTCTCGGTTCATTTCTGCTGCTAGGACAAAATATGTTGGGCTGGGTTATTTATGTGAGACAGATATTTATTTCTCAGAGTTCTGAAAGCGGGGAGGACCAAGGTCAATGTACCAGTATAACTGGTGTCTGGTGAGGTTCTGTTCCTCATAGATGGTGCCTTGTTGCTGTGTCCTCACAGGGAGGAAGATGGAGAGGGCAAACAGTCTTCTTTACGTTCTTAAGGGCCCAAATTCCATTATGAGGGTGGAGCCTTATGACCCAATCACTTCCCAAAGGCTCCACCTCTTAGTACCTTCACCCTGGGGGTTAGGTTTTTAAATATGAACTTGGAGAAGACACAAACATTCTGACCATAGCACTCACTTTCACAGAATCAAGTTCTGCTTCATATAAGCTGCCAGGGCCAAGAGCCAGGGGTCTCTTACCTGTTCCCCTGACAGTCAGGCTGTCACCAGACCATGCTTCTTGGAGAGAAGTCATTTTATTTGGATACATGATGAAGTAATTAGAAAATGAATGTAGTCCTGCTCTGAATCTCTCCTTACCATCAGGCTCTGTAACCTAGAGAAAGATTATCTGTTCTTAAATATCTTGTTACTAGCAGCCAATTTGTGAAATGGAAAATAACCTTAATATTGAAAAATGAAGGATAAAATAGTATTGAAGTGGAAAATAGAGTGGAGGAACAGCTTCAAATTGTTTCTGGCATTTGGAAAATTCAGATCATGGTTAAGTATAGGACCTTTGTATTATTTTTTCCATTGAGAAGTTAAAAATAAGTGAACCCTGAAGGTTATGAAAGAAACTTCTATCCAGAGACTATAGAGATTGGTTCTTTAGCAGGGCTTCTTAGAAACCTGGGTGCATGGTAATCACATGCAGATGCAAAAAGGGATAATACATTTTCAAAGAAGGTAGACTCTTTACCATCTTTGGGTTTGAGTCAGCTGCAAAGTCTTATTTTTATTATGCACCACACTAACGGCATGAAAAGAAACTAGACTCAGGGGCCTGAATAATTTTCTATACTTCCTACAATTTATATAATGATGAATAAGATTAACAGTTACTTTACAATTAAAGAGAGCAAGTTCCAGTCCCTAAAACAAATATAGATTAAATAAACAGTGCACTGTTTTACATGCTTTGAGGTTAAAGTTTACATTCCAGAAAATTTTATTTAGCTTTTTGGATCATCCTTGAAGTAAGAGCGCACGATGAGGCTGTGACTATCTCAGGAGGTTCCTTCTTTCTTTGCCCATACATTTCAAAGAGTATAAAGACCCCTTTCTCCCCCAAATGATTCTTTGCTCTTTGTAATACAAAGCTTACAGGAGTGAAGATGCTTCCCAGCCCACCTCCCTATTAATAACTAGTACTTGATGTAACAGGATTTTGTCCCTAAGATATCAGATCGACTCTGACGTCTAATTTCTTTTAATTTTAACCAAGACACAATCAAAGTGTTTATATTTCTATTTTTATTAATTTAAGTAGACTTTTGTATTTGAAGGCATGACATAATGATTCTCCTTCCTTCCTTCTTCCCCTCCCTCCTTCTTTCCTCCCTTTTCCTTTAAAGAAAGAAATGATGCTAAACCTGAGCAGTAAAGCTGAGCATGTGTAGGAGGGACAGGCACTCAGGGCTTTCGGGGCAATATGTATTGTATAATACAGAGAACTGCAACTCTGAAAGAGCAGAGCAAGGTCAGGAAATAAAAGCAATTGAAATTTTTAGGAGTATAAAGTTTGCAACACAGAACGGCACAAATGGTGGTGGGGAATTTTCTAGGTGCCAGATTGTGGCAAAATCTCAAGTGTCACACTGCACAGCATGGATGTGAAGTGATAAGAAAAAAGAATCAACTTGTGGGGTCCAAGACTGAATGCAGGGAAATTAAGAGACACTCACAGTGGTCCAAGAAAAACAAGATAAATGAGCGTCCATCCTAGGGTGGTGGGGAGGGAATGGAGCCCAGAAATATTTAGAAGGTAGGTTCAGCAAGTATAAATGATTGCTTGGACGTGGGGAGTAGGGAAGGCAGGGGAAGAAATCTAAGATATCTGCTAGCTTTCTAGTTTGTGTGATTGAATAAAAGGAGTGCTGCCAGCTGAGAGATTAAACAAAATTAGTCAGATGAACTAGTTTAAAAAGAAAAACATTGAGATGCATTTTAGACACATTGACTCTGAATTGTCAGTGGGTTATGTTTCCACAGAGTAACTGGATGTGGAAGCCAGGAGCTTAAAGAGAGGGATCTGTTGATATAGATCTGTGGATAACTGGCATGTGAGTAGTGAGAAAGAGCAAAATTACCCATGTTTGCTCTTGAAAAGTGTGCAGCATAAGAGAAGTAATAAATGAAGAATGGGACCGCGGCATCGAACGGATGATTAAAACAAAAGGAAGCCCATAAAGAAGCAGAAACAATGGACATAGGGTTTTGGAAACCGCTGGAGAAGGTATGAGCTTGGATGCTAAAGGAGCAAAATGTTTCAGAGAAAATAAGAACAAGAGTATCCAGCAGAGAAGTCCATAGGGCACCTGAAATTTGAACATCAAATTTGATATTCAGAATGTCATCGGAGAGAGTACAGTGAGAGTGAAAGATGAAGAGACAGAATTCATACCACGATGGCTTGAGGGGAGAATGGAGCTGAACTTCAGATAACCAACAAAAGCGTTCAGATGAAGTAGAGAAGAGAGGCTGGTAAGGAGCCCATCCATTGGGAGAAAATGGAGGGTAAAAGAGATGAAAGTGTTTTTGAGGTTGGAAACCCATGTGACTGAAGCAGGAAACAGTGAGGATCCTGGAACAGATAACTCTTTAACACGAAGATAGGAGCAAAAGCGGCTTTGGAAACAGTGAGGATCCTGGAACAGATAACTCTTTAACACGAAGATAGGAGCAAAAGCGGCTTTGGAAACAGTGAGGATCCTGGAACAGATAACTCTTTAACACGAAGATAGGAGCAAAAGCGGCTTTTAGTGAGGCTGACTGCTCAGCGAATGACTCCTGTCAGTCTTCAGAGCCCCGAATAGAAGTTTGTGCTTCCTTATATACCTCTTTTTAGATCTGTGAAGCTTATTTCCATTGGAGTTTCCTGGAGAATATAGCAAGCAGGATTTACACAAAGCAGAGCAGTGGAGAAGGGGAGAGTAGAGTTCTGACAGGACTTTCTGGGACCATTATGCTCATTTGATGACAGGTTACAGAGGTTGTCATGGCTGCTCAGGTACATTCTAGAAAGAGCATAGTTACCTAGTGAACCCGTAGTTGCCCAATTCTATATGTAGGGGTGGTCTCCTCCCTCAAGATGAAAAATGAGTTCTTGGAAGAGCCCGAATATGGAGAACACAGAGTACTGTGGCTTAAGATTTTAGATAAAATAGGTCTGGGTGACAATGAGATCGAAGATAGAAGAGATCCACTTGAAATAAGTGCAGAGATGAAGGGCCCCTTCAGTTAAAGGTCATTAAAGTGAAAAGCTACAGGAGTGTCCACTCAAAAGCCTTATAGCTACAATGGACAATCAGTTTCCCTAGATTTATGAGAAGAGTCTGATGTAGAAATGTGTGAGCCACATAACAAAGATTTCAATGGTAATAATGCTAATTTTTATTGGGTGTGTATGTGTTTCTAGATAGCTATTCTAAGTTCTTGGTAGACATTTAAACTTGATAAGGAAGGCGTTAATATTATCCTCATTTTATAGAGTAGGAGATTTAAACCCAGAATGATTGAGCAAGTTGCTCAATGACACAGTGTAAACAAGTAATGGAGACAGGATTTGAACTCAGGAAGGCTGATTCTAAGATTCCATGCATGTAACTATTTCATTTTTAACAAGGAGTTTGCAATCTAAATCTTTTACAATCTTTTGCTCTTGTCAATCTCTTTCCCATTCTTCCCTGTTATTTTCCTGGCAAGGGTTCTAATCACCTTCACTGGGACCAGCACAATCTGCATGCCAGCCCCCACAAAGTACTACCAAGTAAGATAGTCATAGTAATGATCTCCCACATTACCTTTCCATGCTTCTTAAGTCTCACTCTCATTTATTTGCTAGCTCAAGTCTGAACTTCTTTGTCTAGACTTTACTATACTGTGCAATGTGATCTCCATTCTAATTTCCAACTTTGTCCCTTCCTACTTTTTTGGGGGGTACTGGGGATCTAACTTGGGTCTTTGTGCTTGCGAGGCAGGTGGCAGAATTACTAAGCTAAATCCCCAGCCCCCCTTCCTACTTTCTTAAAAAATGTTCTTACTCCAGATGCAGTGCCTGTCTCAGTATCCTACACATAGCAGGAACTCAGCCACTATTGGTGATGAGAATCGGGCGGATAATACTGACTCACACTGATTTACAAAACAATTTGTTTTGCCTATGTAGTTTCACTTGATCTTAGCACTGAGAGATTTGACAGGTCCTAATTTCCCCACTGATAGAAGCTATTCACAGCTGGAATGAAAGCCTTCCATCCCTGTTAAAGGAAGAACATCTAGAAGGAAGATATTAAAATCATGAGGACTATATGATCTCAACCTTCAATGCGTGTAACGCAGGGACTGTACATAATAGATGAGGAAACCGGCCCATTGAGAAGATAAGTTGAGAGAAAAAGAATACAAATTTTCTCCTTCAACCTATGGCGTATGATCTTAATATTAGCTTATGTCTGGCAATTTCATTCATCTATCTGTCTGTCTGGTAGTAAACTGAACTCCTTGAAGCTAGAAACTCATCTTCATTAGTAAGTCCCCAGGGTCCCTAGAACCTAGCACGACATCTAAAGACTGAAGATTGTCAGTAAATATTTGTTGAGTGGATAAAAGAATACTGGGTGTTAATCTTTATATTCTCAGAGTAGTTTTAATCATACATTGTATAATTAACTCAACTCAATTAATTTGTAATTAATTCCCCTGCTGAATATCTAGTCCTATATTTAACTAAGTTCTGAAGGAATGAAAACACTGTCAAATTCATTTATGCATTCTATAGTTTTTCATAAATAGGTGGAAAGTAACATGGCTATGGAAATATGAAGAACCTACATAGTTAAAAATTGACTTGTTTTGGTACATGTCACCCAGCAGAGGATGTTATGCTCTGGAGTACAATGATGACTGTTCGAGCACAATAGGGATAACCCTTTACCTCGATCTCTACCTGGTTGGACCTGATATTAATATTTCTTTTCTTTTTCATTTTTTTTTTAAGACAGAGTCTCACTTTGTAGTTCAGGTTGGCCTTAAACTCACTATGTAGCCGAGGCTGCCTTGAACTCAAAGCAATCCTCCTGCCTCAGCTTCCTGCATGCTGGGATTACAGGCATGTGCCACCACTCCCAGCTTAATATTTCTATTAGTACATTTCTTCTATACTTTACTGTTTAGAAAACACAATCACATTAACTTTATTATCTAGTGTTCTATAAAAATAGCTGATTATTTCTATTTTACATTAACATTTATTCAACAAATATTTCCTGAAATAACCCAGGCAGTATTCTAAATTCTAAATTAAAAATTGAGCACAAAGCAAGTTCC